TACTATAATTTATACAGTATAATACACTTTACTATAGTATGGTTCAAAATTTACTATAAATTACTATAGTATTTTTTCATGTGGGTATTGGGGAAAAAAACCTTTTCCTAAAAGTACTGAAGCCTTATTGAATTACTGCAGCAGCTTTGGAAATGAAAGTAATGAAATATTTTAGCTCTATTTTTCTGCCTGAAATCTGACAGCTTCCTTCTTATTTCAACCCCTCACAACTGTGCATGTTTGATGATCATTATAATGTATTACATTTTGGAAGTAACTTGCCCAACACTGGATATAGGCCATGTGTATAGCTCTAGTCTAACCCAATAAAATAAATAGAAGAAATTTGAATTTAATCCAATAAAGAAGTTTACAATAAAGTTAAAAAAGGCAAGGGTAAAGGTAAGTTATTGTAATAATGTATTATGATTTGGGACACACTAATTTTAATTTCGAATACTATTTAAGATTGATAGCCTGAAAATTAGGATGCAGCAACTGACTGCATTTCTTGCATAGTGGGACAAAAATATCTTCTTAGACCCTATACTAAAAATGACCTATTCAAAAGGGTGAAAAATGAATTTATTGCTATTGCATGTTTTAATTCAAAATATTGCTTTTATTTAATGATTTTCAGTTTGACCCTTACAGTTTGACTGTCTGTGGTCCAGTTATGAGGTGTCATGCCTTCTTTCACTGTCGGGTGATGCAATGACGCAGAGACACCACAGCTACACATTGGCTGTGTCTCAATGCAATTACTGTAAGCACTGTAATAAATGAGAGTATGTGCATGGTCAGAATGAACTAGTGAAGGTATTAAATTCTTGCGAAGCAAATATACAGTCAATAATTTAGCTCAGATTCCAGTCGGATATACATATAATCGGATTTGGACTGACAGTGTGAGCATGGGCCCACTGATATCAATAATAGGCCCCATTTTAGAGGTTTTGCTGAGTGTCAACTGTAGTAAGTCAATCGTCTGTGAGCATCTGCTAAAACTTTAGACATCTTGTTTCATTGTTGTGACAAAAGACAGTGATAAGTAAGCAGAATTTAAGGTTGGACACCACTGAATTTTATTTTTTGCAAAGTAGGTTGAAATTTATCCCGGTTCCTTATTGAGAGTTTGCCAGCTGCTTTTCAAAAACATTATTAAACTATTTTATTATAAAACGTAGTTTCTATTTAACTTAGAACAAGTTAAATATCAGCGTAATATGATCATTACACTTTCTTGTCCTGGTTCAATGTTTTTGTAGGTTAAAGTGTCTGAGTTGTGCATAAAAGCAGGAAGAAGCTCTTCACCTACAAGCTTCATGCTCTAAATGCCAGTTCTGTCATGCACAAGATGTTTGTCCACCCAGCAGAACAAACCACGTTTCTGAAGAAAACCGACCGCAGCAGCTTTCAGTTTGACTCAGAAGCTGCACTTAAGTAAGAATAGTAATGTTAGATGCAGACACTTTGTAACTTTTTGAACGTTGTATTTCCGTGCACAGCGTGCTCAACAATCCCATCAGCAACCAGACTCAACATCTGGACATCAGCAAACTCTGTCATGCATGCCCAGGTATGTCAGCATTGATATATGTATTTATGTACAAATTCAGTCACAGTAATAACTGTCTCCTTCACATCCTCCAGTCTCAGTTTCTCTGATAGTGCTGATTTCTGCTGCTGGATCTCTGTTGATTGTAGCTGCAGTTGTGATCTGCAGGAAATGTAGAAAAACTGGTAAAGAATTCAACTAGTACCTACAAATATTAACTAACGCATTTGGATCAGATATACAGATTTCCATACAAGATTGCAAGCTCTGTTGTTTCAAAATGTCTGTATTATAGTTACTTCAGTTCAGACACTGGAGGAAGACAGAACTGATTCATCAAAATCTCGAAAACCGGTAAGATCATTCATGATTTGAGTTGCAAGAAGTTGTTGCAGTGAGTTAGTCTGATTGAAGCTTGCTGTTTGAAGTTGTGTGTGCAATAGCATCAAACGAACAGAGAACAGATGTAGATGGTCAGCCTTGATCATTATTACCTACAGGGAACAGCTTGAAAAGGGATGCTTTTTTTAAGCATGTTTTTACCTTATTTTCATTAAGTGTTTGCACCTCAGTGTAACTATTAACATACTGACGTAACTTTGGTTACCTGAAGTGAGGGAACGAGACATCACATCAGTAGCTGATGCTACTGGGAGAAAAAAAACCTTTCCCTAAAAGTACTGAAGCTTTATTGAATTATATGAATATGAAAGTATATGAAAGTAATGAAATATTTTAGCTCTATTTCTCTGCCTGAAATCTGACAGCTTCCTTCTTATTTCAACCCCTCACAACTGTGCATGTTTGATGATCATTCATTTGATCATTCTGTTTAAAAAGTCATGTGACTGGATGTATGATTTCCTCTAGCCACTCTGCGTTCGCATCTGTTCTTGTGCTTGATGCTAGAAAGTTATATTGTGAAATAATCACTCTTATCATTTTGAAATGGGTTTTAAACTGTTTGCTGGTTCTGGATTTCCTGTTTGTGTTTCCTTGCAGAAATCAAAGACAGATGCTGTGTATCAAAATGTCCCCAAAAAACGATGATCAAATGCTGTATCTACTGGAATTGATGCCAGAGTACATATGGGACAATACCTCACTTCTGGTTTTATTCACATTTATTCTCTGCCAGTATGTCTGTTCTGTCTTCACACTTTGTATCACATATTTTGGTGTTAATGCGATGTCTGAATTTATGTTTTAATTTAGTGGTTCATCAGTAGCATAGCATCCAGAAACTCAACTAAAATGTTCTATTTTTAGTTTATCACATGGAAATATACCTAATATTTATTATTAAATATTAATCACACCCATTGAGTGTGCTGTCATGTCGTTGTCTGTTATTTACTGTTCTTGTTTTATTATTTTTGAAGAAATTAAACTGGATAATAAGTGCATTGCATATTGGATTACAGTATCACACACAATAAGCACAACATCGCTCTCTAGTGCTCAAAGCAGAAAATCACATCTCTCTAAAAACAGCACAACTCACATCTGATACAGTGCACTATAGATGCTGCCTATAAAAATAATATTCATATGTAATGGTTTAACCACTAGATGACTGTATGGCTGTTTAATAGATATAGGCCATGTGTATAGCTCTAGTCTAACCCAATAAAATAAATAGAAGAAATTTGAATTTAATCCAATAAAGAAGTTTACAATAAAGTTAAAAAAGGCAAGGGTAAATGTAAGTTATTGTAATAATGTATTATGATTTGGAACACACTAATTTTAATTTCGAATACTATTTAAGATCGATAGCCTGAAAATTAGGATGCAGCAACTGACTGCATTTCTTGGATAGTGGGACAAAAATATCTTCATAGACCCTATACTAAAAATGGCCTATTCAAAAGGGTGAAAAATGAATTTATTGCTATTGCATGTTTTAATTCAAAATATTGCTTTTATTTAATGATTTTCAGTTTGACCCTTACAGTTTGACTGTCTGTGGTCCAGTAATGAGGTGTCATGCTGTCACGTGTATGTTCCCGTTGAGTTCCTGTTTTCTTTATTTGGTCCTTCCAGTTCCTTTTCACATTATTAGTATCACTTGTTCCTTGTTATTAGTTATCCCCATCACCTGTCTGCCCCTCGTTATCTACCCTATTTAGTTCTAGCCCGTTCAGTTCTCCCTTGTCTGGAATTGTATGTTGATGTCTTCTCCTCGTGCTA